CAATAGGATCAGTTTTCTTTTTGGATTACAAAGAGAAAACAACCACTGATTATATCAGCTTCTACATCAGAAGTATAATGGAAAATTAGAAGAAGTTTTAAAAAGAATGGAACCAATTATTGTACTGGCAGAAAGTTTGTGTTTGAATCCTCCATATATAACTTTAGTTAGGGTTAAGCCTGGCATGACTTGAAAGACTTATTCAAAGTATTAATTAATTCTTATTCCCATTTCACACATACAAACCCCTGACATATATGTAACAGAGAGGAAACAAGGAAACCCACACATAGAAAGAGAGAAGAGTCCTGTCGGTCGTATTTGTACTTGGGTTTAACCAGTACTGTGTACTCTCCCCTCTTAGTTCCTAAGTGAAGAGACCTTGTCTTGTAGCAGTTGTGAGCTCCCATCCTCTGGTTGTGGCCAGGATACCAGTGCCTGAGCTGGTTTCCCTACTACAGTTTTTTCTTTTGCTTACTAGTGAAAGAGAGTGGAGGTCCAGGCGGATCTGGACGAGCTGTTTTCAACTTAAGATCTGTGGATGTGGCCCAGATTTTTGTCTGCTTTCTGATAAGATTCCTTCAACTGTATTGAGGGTGAGAGAACAGAGGAATTGGGTAAGAACCTGACTATCCTCAATCTCTTTGCCCTTCGTCCTGTGATAATGTCTGCAGCTGCTTCTGTTGTGTGTCTCTGAGGCTGAGCTCATTGTGCAGTACCTTCTGACCCCTTTGTACCTCTCCAGCTTTGTGCACGTGCCAAAATCTTTCCTTGCCTCTCAGAGAGTTTCTATCCAACCTGCGAATCAGTGACATTTAGGAAGCAGTGCAAGAGAACCCTTGGAATTCAGTGGTGTTTAGGAGTCAATGGGAAGGAGCTCACACAGGTAGCCACTTTTGATGATGGTGGGATGGGTCCCACCCAGGACCCTGTCGCTCTAAGTTTTTGTAAGGCAGGTGGCAGGCTGGATCCACACAGGCACAGAGTTTAGTGGTGGCCTTTTGTATGTGAGTGTGAGAGGGGTGGGTGGACTCCATTGTCTTTTCTACCCTCTGATCCCTCCAGTTATAGCCACTGTACACCTGAGACTCAATTCCTGGTTCTGGGTCCCTATCCTGGACTGTGCCTTTGTTTCTTTCTGTCCCTTGGGCTTGCTGTTCCTAGCCCATCACTGCTTCAGCGTGACTTGCTGATTCACACTTCTACTTCTGTGACTTGCAAAGGCCCTCTTTTGCATGCTGGGTTCCATGTCTCATGGGAAGAGAGCTCAGACAGGTGGGCCCTGGGCAGTAAGTGCTTCATAGGTGACATTCCAGCCACAATACCAGCTGCCACCACCACAACAGTTTACTTCTTACCTGAGAGTATTAGGTGCTTCTCAAGAGTACCTGCTTGCCAGATCTGGACCATAAGTGATTCTGGGATCCATATGCAGTTCTGGGATCTGTACGCAGCTCTGTTCTTTCCCTAAACACCTCTAATACTGGAACTCATTTGATGGGCTTCTTCATTTGTCCTCCCTGTTTGGGTTTATTTTATTCATGCCTTGTTTTTCAGTACCAGTGGGGACATCCTGCTGAGTGTCTGAGTATCTCGTGAGGTCTGTTGGCTCTAGTCTGCCACAGAGTTTATTTCATGTTTTAGGAAATGACCTTTCAGTAGTTCACCATTGTATGTGAGGTTAGCAGTAAGTTTTTATGAATGCTCTTTTATGTTAAGGTTGTTCCTTTCTAGTCCTGCTTCATTAAAGGGCCTTTTATTTATTTATTTGGTACAGGGTCTCACTATGCAGCTCAGACTCAAAGTGATTCTCCTGTCTCAGCCTCCCCTGCTTTGGGATTACAAGCATGCACCACCACACGCAGTTTCAGTGGCCAGCTCACCACCTGGGACCAACACAGCATCCAGTACTGGAGATCAAACCCAGGTCCTTGCACTTGTCAGGGAGGCCTTTAGACTGCTGAGCTATCTCCCCAGTACTGGAGATCAAACCCAGGTCCTTATACTTGCCAGGGAGGCCTTTAGACTGCTGAGCTATCTTCCCAAAATATGTCCATTTTGGCTATAGTGTTGGTTCTGCTTATACAGGAATAGATGATATCTTTTTTGGTTATTCTAGGGTTTTTTTTTTTTTTACCCCTTTTAATATGTTGGCAAACTCTGTTAGTGTTTTGTTGAGTATTTTGTGTCAATATTAATAAAAAAGATTCCATAGTTTTTGGTTTTCTGTACAGTGTTGTTGGTATCAGAGTAATGCTAGCTCTATATAATGAATTAGGACCTGTACCCTACTTTTTATTTTTGACAATGTTAGAGAAGGATTGCTAATTATTCTTTGTTTGTTTGGTAGAGTTCACCAAATGAAGGCATCTCATCTAGGATTTTCTTTGTTGGAAGTTTTTGATTATTGATTCAGTTTCATTGGTTGGGAATCTATGTAGATTTTCTATTAATTTATGAATCAGTTTTGATACTCTTCATATTTTGAGGGAGTTGTCCATTTTGTGTTGCTTGGTGTATACTTATTTATATGTTATTCTCCAGTAATTCTTGTCTGAGGTATTCATAATATAATTCTCTCCTTTTCATTTTAATGATGATTCAAGGGTTTTTTTGTTTGTTTGTTTTTTTGTGGAACCGGGGATTGAACTCAGGCCCTTGCGCTTGCCAGGGAAGTACTTATTCTACCGAGCCATCTCCCTGGCCCCGAGTTTTTTTTTTTTTTTTTTTTTTTTTTTTTTTAAGTAGGTAAAAGTTTGTCAGTTTTCCTGATCTTTTCAAATAACCAAGTTTTCCTAGCATTCATTCTATTGCTTTGTGTAATTTTTTTACATAATGGTACATTTTGTTTTTTCAGTTTTTTATCATGTTATAGCATATAATGATTATGTTCCTTATTGACGAGTTGGTGCATGTATAGAATACATCTCAATGTTTGTTTTTTCTACCCCTTCCCCTCTCTTTCTACATTCCTCCTAGCTTCTCCCTTCTTCTTGTGGTCTTTTTTTCCTTTGGTAAAGGATCTAGCTCCCTATTTCCTATTACCAAGCTTTTATTTTGCTCTTTATTGAGTTTCTCATATAAGATAATTTACCCTTGTGTGTCTGATTTATTTCACTATACATTATAGCCTCAAACTGTGTCCATTTCCTTGTGATGAGTTACATGTGTCTTTTATGGCAAAGTAGTGTATTATTATTTATGAACACCATACTTTCTTTAGTTTTGTGTAGCTTTTTGAGACAGGTTCTCACTATGTAGTTTACGCTGGCCTTGCACTCACTATTGGCCTCAAACTTGCAGCAGTCCTCCTGCATCAGCCCCCAAACACAGACATGAACCATCTCTTATCCATTCATTTGTTGATGGACATACAAGTCACTTTCAAGATTTAGCTAGTTGTTTGTGCTGCTATGAACATGAGTATGTATTGATCACTGTGATATGTCTTTAACTCTTTCAGGAAGATGCTTAAAAAGGGAATACATGGGTAGAATTGAATTTCTAGTTTTAGATTTATGAGGAATTTAAATATCCATTTCCACTATGGTTGTATTGGTTTATGTAACTAGCAACAATGTAGAAGTGTTCCTTTGTCCTGTAGCCTCTCCAGTATTTAGTATTCTTTGAGTTTTTGATGACAGACCTTTTTTTTCTACAGTAGGATGTAATCTCAGTGCTGTTTTAATTTTTTGTCTCTAATGACTAGAGATGTTGAATATTTTTTCATGATTTATTTGTACTTCTGAGAAGTATTTCATTCAATTGTCCTTTTTCTCATTGTCCTTTATTTTGGAGGTGTGTAATGTTTTGCACTCTTTATGTAGTATATTCAAGCTTTTATTCCACTGTCTAAGCAATAGCTAGCAAAAATTTCCTCCCACTATAGACTGTCTTTGCTCTGTTGGTTCTTTTGATGTGCATAAGTTTGTTTTTTTTTAATTTAATGTGGTCCTGTATGTTGATTACATTTGCTTCTTGGCAGTTGGGATTCTATTCTGAAAGTATTCTTTGTATTTAAGAGTTTTACCTCTTTCATCTTCCAGTGTTTTGGCTTTAATGTTTTTATCCTTGATCCATTTTGATTTTAGTTTAGTACATGGTAGGGGATATGGGCTTATTTTCTATCATCTGTATATGAATACCAAGTTTTCTGAAGAAGTTACTTTTTTCTATAGCATTTTTTTTTTTTATGCCAATATAGTGTTGGGGTTTTTTTGTTTTGGGTTTTGTTTTTCGGTTTTTTTGGTGGGACCGGGGATTGAACTCAGGATCCTGCACTTGCCAGGGAATCACTTATCCCACTGAGCTCCCTGGCCCATGGGTTTTGTTTTTAATCACAGGCTTTTTGAAGTTAGGGACCTTTGATGTCTTAGACTTTTTTCTTTTCTTTTGGTATGCTAGATTTCTTATGGTTCTATATGAATTTTACGTGTTTTTTTTCTAGTTCTGTGTGAAATGCTATTGGTATTTTGATTGACATTGCATTAGATCTGTGTATCACTTTTTGAAATATGTCCATTTTGGCTATAATGTTGTTTCTGCCTGTACAGGAACAGGTAATATCTTTTTATTGTCTGATGTTTTCTTCAATCTCGTGCTTCATAGAGCTATAATCTTTTCATATAGAATTTTTTTAACATCCTTGATTAGGTTAGATTAATTCTTAAATATGTAATTGTTCTTGATACTAGTATGAATGATACTGTTTTTCTAATTTTTTCTCAGTTTATTATTGTATAGGAATGCAATTCATTTTTTTATTTTATATCTTGCTCCATTACTTAATTTGGCTATTCTAGAAATCTTTTGGTTTTTTTAGGTCTTCTCTGTTGATCATGTATCTGCACATAAGATGATTATTTGACTTCTTCCTTTCTTATATGTTATCCTTTTATTTCTTTTGCTTACTTGATTGCTCTGGCCAATGTTTTTAATACTATGTTAAGCAATAGTGGAGATAGTGAACATCTTTGTCTTATTGTTGCTTTTAGAGGAAAAACTTTCAGCCTCTTCCCATTTAATAGGATGTTGTCAATCAGTTTATAAATGGTTGTCATATTGAGATAAAGCCCATCTATACCTATATTCTTCAGGATTTTTATTAGTATGGATGTAAATTTGTTAGAGGCTTTTTCTGTGTCTATTGAGATGGTCATGGGATTTTTTATCCTGTTCATATGATGTGTTATATTTATTGATTTGCATATGTTGAACCATCCTTGCACTCCTGGAATGAATCCTACTTGATCATAAAGTATGACTTTCTGATGATGTATAGTATTGTTTGACACTATCTTGTTGGTAACTTTTGTGTCTATGTTTATTAAATAGATTAGTCTTTACTATTTTTATTTGGATTCCTTTCAGACTTTGTAATCATTGTAATGCTACCTTCCAGTAATAACTTTAGAATTACTCTTTTCCTTTCAGTTTCATCAAAGAATTTGAAAAGTATTGACATTAGATCTGCTTTGAAATTCTGGTAGAATTTAGCAGTCAGTAGTCAGATCCTGGCCTTTTCTTGGTAGTTTTTTGTTTTTTGTTTTAAGTTATTGCTTTAATTTCATTGTTTTTATGGGATTGTTCTGTTTGATTTTTCAGGTCCTGGTCTTAGTTGGCAGGATTTAAAAAAAAAAAAAAATGTTGCTTTAATTTCACTGACTGTTACTGGATTGTTATTGGCTAAATTTTTGTAATTCTTATGCCATTAGGATTTTCCCCATTCCTTCTGAATTCTACAGTTTATTGACATACTGTACAGGTTTCTAGAGTTATTGCTAATATTCTGAATTTTGACAGTATCTGTTGTGATTTTTCTAGTTGCATTGATGTAGGTCTTTTTGTTAAGATTGACTAATCTTTTAATTCGAATTGCACTGATTTAGGTCTTTTTGTTAAGATTAGCTAATTCTAATTGATTCTGGTCTTTTC